TGTCTACTTCTTGCTATTTTTAAGCCTTTCCGAATATCTGTGCTATATCTAGCTGGGTTTCCTATGCTCATTATTACTTTTCCGAGATTTGCGAGTAAAATGTTCTTTCTGTAGTTAAAATGGCATTTAGTCATGTTAATTGCACATTCCACTATTAAAATTTCTATGAGCTGTCTAGGGGTTATATCCATGCATTGGCTTATTTCTTTTTCTAAAACATCTTTGTTTATCAGTTTAAGATACATATCTATTATACCTATGTCTTTACCTGGAGAAATCAATAAGGTATTGTTGATTATCAATTGAATGTGCTTGTCAACTGACTCCAACAGACACACCTCAGCCTTTTCTACTTCAATTTTTAGAATAGGTTTTACATAACGTATGAAACTGCCAACAATGGTATGCATACATCCATCTCCGTTGCCAAACAAGTCGTTTATTGCAGCTTCTATATCATCATATGTTCTGTATGGGTCTACTCTAAAAAATGAGTATATACTACGAACAGCAAGTGGCTTATTCTTCTCTGCTAGCTTAAAAAGTACCAACTCGTGTATTCTACTGTTTTTATTTTTCATTTTGCTATACTTCCTTACTACTTTTAGCATATGAGAATCAAAATTTCTTATTGCTTTGCTTACCAAATCAATCTTAACAAAAGCTGGTGGAAGCAATTTTGCTATACTGGTATATAACTCGTTTATTTCGTGCTGAAATGCATCTGGTTTATCACGATACATTAGAGAATCTTTTTTATCGCTTATATCAGTAAGATTTCTTATTTCTGTTCGCAGTTTTTCAGCTCTTACAGTAAGAAGTTCTAATCTTATTTCTATGTTAGATAGATTTATTTTCCCTTGTCTTATATCCTTATTAAGAATATCAGATGGTATCTCTTCACATCTAAAGGCTTCTATCTTCTTAAGAAAATCACTACGTATTTTAACCTCTGTTTTCAAACAAGCTACTTCTTCATTCCAATACCAGTGCATGTATCGTGCTTCTTTTGCCAATGACTTACAGCTAGCTTTGTGTAAATAGCCCAGAGTGATCGCGCCTACTACTATTACCTTTTTTAGAACTCTTAGGATCATAAAAATTAAAATATTTTCACTTTTATATTTAGCTATTTTTACTTTTGCCAAGTGGATGTCTATTTTTACTTTCTTGCCTATCCCACTATATTTCAGCAGCTGGTGCAAAATGCACAGAGCTAAAATGTACTATAATTAAGTAAAACAAGCAATAATATAAATGTAAGATGGATAAAGCACTAGTAAGAGAAGAGTATATTATGAGGATAGAAATAGAATGGTTAAATGCAGTTTTATTTAGTGCCATAAAAGACTAATAATCATGGATTAAATAAGTACTAAAGTACTACATTCTTCCTAAGAAGACTCATTTTTTTTGTTTGGATGTAGATGGCTCATATTTTGTTCTTGTTTCATCTTTCATATAACAAAGACTTAAATATCTACCAAAATTATAAATCAACTTGGAATATCTGCGATTATCATCTTCTCTGTCGATGACTTGTATGAATCTCAAGAGGC